AATTATTATTATAAAATTATTATTATAAATAATACAATTTAAATATTATATTAATGTGACTTATTGATATCTCTCGTACATATTTATTTTAAAATGAAATTTAAAAGTTATAAAACTAAAAAAAAATTTTAAAAACAGAAAAATTAACAATTAAGAATTAAACAAAATAAATGACAAGATATGTTATCAAGTAAATTTTGTTAATATCTAAAAATCATCTTTTATAAAAAGGGTTGAACAATTCGATTATTTCATCAAAAAATATTTCCTCAATGCTTAATAGGATAAGGATTAAATTGACTACACGGGTCAATCGTCATACTGTTGATAATACCTAAAGTTTCAACGAGATCCAATTAGGGTTAATCACCAATTAGTAGAAGACTAATCCTATTAAAAAGAAATATGAGAAAGAAAGCTATTTTATCTCGTAAAGCTTTAGCGTTAAACTATTTTCTGTAACTGTAGCTAGTAATGGGAGGTTTAATGACGTTTCTATTGTAAAAAAAATTACATTCCTAGTTATTAAATTTCATTTTGACAATTAAATTAGATCATAAAGAATAGATATTAATTAAGAAACAGATATTAACAGAGAGATCAAATAACTTTTTTCCACTATTATAACAAATAATAAAATTTGATTCGATTAACTTTTGTTCTTGTATTTCTTAGAGATTATAATTCTTAATATTATTAAAAAATTGTAAATAAGACTTTCTTAGATATATTAATGGTGTATAATTTAAAAAATTCTTTTAAAGAAATAGTTACTTTAACTTTGTGAATGTTGAGAGGTACAAAAATATGATAAATATCTATATACTATTTATATTATTTAAACTTATATTATATTATTTATATTATTTATTTAACTTATATTATTTAAAAATAAGCTTTATAAGCAATTTTCGAATTTGACTAACTTTATTAGCAATTTTCGAATTTGACTAACTTGAGGACACAATTAAAATTAATACATACCGTTGACTGTGAGATAAACGACTTTACTGAGCCCGGCTCCAATGCCATTTACAGCCTCGCATAGGTAGAAGCCCTCATGATCCTCCTGAACCCGGCCAAATACCAATGAACCGTTAGAGTGTATCCTCAGATCCTGCATGTGCTCATGGCTGGCAATGTCGTGATAATTGCCAGGTTTCTTGCCGCTGCCACGTCGCCATGTGACCAACGGCGGCGGAAACCCGTCGGCGTGACAATGCAAACTCAATCGGGGCATCCCCTCCGACGCACGGGCGTCCTGCGGCTCCACCACCCATCGTGGCGGTACTGACCCACAATGCGCAATCATTAATCGATTGTCACGTATCCCAAAATGCGACAGCTACTACAACGACGCGGTCCGGAAGTTCCGATCGTCTCGATTAAAAATCCGCGAGCAAATGACGAAAATCGTTCTACTTAATTATACTTAATTCCTCAAATTGCAAAAAAATGTCAATTTTACATCTTAATTAATTATGAAAGACTAAACAATTTGATCTAACATAAATAAATTTTTATCACGGAGAAATAAATTAATAAACGCATGATTTTTTACTAATTAATTGGAGGAAATATGTCAAATTAATTCAAGAAAAAATTGTTTATCGCGCAGCTATTAAACTTTCAATTTTGATGAAACGTTGCGTTTTACCGAGAACACTGAATTCGTGAGGGAATGTTCTTCCGAATCTCGTCGTTTCTTTATCTAAGCTTATTGCGCTGAGGCAAGAGCGAAAAGTTCTCGAGGAGAGGATTGGCCTACTGCAACTTCCTACTTCAGCTGCCGTGAAAGTAAAGAGAAATAGAATTTGAAGGTGCGCGAGGAGAGGACTGATGTGTCCTCTCGGGATTGCGGACAAACGGCGCAAAACTTTCGCTGATAAAAATTACGGATTGTCCGCCAATGTATTGGCGGATTGCTTGCTCTTTTCGTTTGTCTTTCTTCTCATTTCTGTTTCTCCGTCTGTCTAACGACAAAGAAATAGATGGAAGAAAGACGCAGAGGATGGAGTGACTGGCAGGAAAAGTGCGGAAACGTTGCAACGTGCGCGCGCGATGGAGAGATTTTTCCATCGGCGACAAATGGTAAAATAATATATCGGCGATAAACACCTGTGATTACAGAGAGCGATATATACGTGATATGATATAAATCGGTGCTGTGCGAATTCAATACGACATACGAATGTGCACGATCAATTGTTGCGTACAAATATATGCACAAGGTGCGCAAAATGCGCGTCCCGCCCGAGCCGAACGTTTGCGCGCCGAATTATTCGCGCATTCATTTACATAATGCGTCATGCATTTATGCGCTTGCAAGCATATTATCATTCAATCGTGATTAATAATTGAAAGATCGAGCGGATGAAGGATATACTTGTTATATTATGAAAATCGAGCTACATGGACAAATTTGTTATTTCTCACGCTGAATTACTGTGGCAGTCTACTTGTTAGATAATAGAATCAACAAAGAGTGTAGCAGCACGCGCAATAATGAAGACACGGACTTATCGCTACAATTTATTTTAGTGAGAGAAATAACAGAGGTTTCCCCAGAGAGATACTGTATTTTTAAAATTACATCTCAGAGCTGGAGAACGCTTAAACTTTCTTCTTCTTAATTTAAATACTTTGACTGCGGCATCTGATTGCTTATTAATTCAAATCCGATAAATGCGATCTTTTGGTCCTTCGTCCTCCTTTCAATTTAATAACGATTTCATATCGGGAATCGATTATTCTAGCGAACGTTCGGATCAAACGAGACCGATTCGTCTCGGTGCAAGGTAGGGTGGATAGGCGGCATACGAATTTTCGCTGACGACGGTGACGAGAGCAGGGGAGATGAAAAAAAGGAGATGAAAGAAGTATAAACGAAACAGATGCGAGCGTCACATCGGGAAGTCGGTGCTAGGGAATTAGTGGCGCTCAAAACTAAATAAGAGAGAAAAATGAACTGAAAAACGTGTCAGTGCAGATATGCGTGTGCTGGGTGAAGTGAATGTGAGTTGGTGCTCCAAATTGAACTACAAGATTGCTGCTGCTGCTGCTGCTGCTGCTGCTGCTGCTGCTTATACTGCTGCTGCTGCCGCTGCTGCTGCCGCTGTTGTTGCTGCTGGCTCACCATGACTCAAGACGAAGTGGTGCTATATGCGAAGCCGAGATTCGTAAAGTGGCAATATTGGCCCTCGCATGCAGTATATTTCATTTTGGGCTACTGCGATCGTGAATACTGACAAGCACCTCGTATCGGTCGAGATTTCATTCCTCGTTCTTCTTTTCTCGTGTATTTCTCCTTTTTTATTTCGTTGTATTCCGAAATATGATTCAGCGGTCCTCGATGCAACACGTTCAAGAGTTTAATACTTTTAAAATTAATAGTACTTCTCTCATTTGACATCGAAGCATTTAAAGAAGATATATTGTTGTTCGTCACGTTGGTCCGAAAATCTCGACTGTCAGAGGTCAAAGAGTCGAGTACCGCTGCATTTGACACTTGCGGAATTAATGCAGAGACTGTATACGATCGCAGTACTTAATTATTGCGATAAGGGGCACAGAGTGAGAGGTGCAAAGTTGAATAGTGCGCCCGTTGCTGTTAGATATATATATATATCTAGATAGAAAATATATTGCGGGGTGATCCGTGGGGTAAAATAACATTATATTATTATGCTGTGCTCATGTGCGATGGTGCGACGGGCTTGCTGGCTGTGCGGCGGCGGCGGCGGCGGCTGCTGCTGCTGCTGCTGCTGCTGCTTCGTCTTTTCTCGCGTATCATTTCGTAAAATGGACTCTAGAGCTGCGTTTATTTGGACAATGCCGTTGTTCGTTTATTCGGATAGCGAATTGTTCTGTGCGTCTCTCGTGAATATCTGGCCAACGTTCATGTGCGCGCGATACGTTTTTAAAAAAATTTCGTACGCAACTATCTCGAATTTAATGAACGAATTTCGCATAGGATACTATAGAAAAATATTTTCTCTGATTCTTTTGTAAAAAAAAAGACTCGTACAACGCAAAATACCGAAATATTGGAACGGAAAAAATTATTGGGGATATATCTCGACTCCAAACATTTTCAAGCGAGATATGTGGATTATTCGCGAGAATATTACCCTGAATGTATTACCCAGAAGAGATCTGTCAGATATTGAAAGTGCTGGTCGAGTGATTTTAAGCAGTAGAAAAGTTATATTGAAAAATAAATAAGATATTTTAGGTAAACTAAAATTTACATAAAGTGTATTTTCTATAACCTTATTATATAAAATACAAATATTCAGCGACATGACAAACTAAATAATGATAATAACAAGTGTACGTTATATAATAATAATAATTATTATTAATACAAAATATTAATGAATATAAAATATAAAATCATGAACATAATTAAATTATTAAAATATCTTTACTCTTATTTGTTATAGAGTAATAGAAAGAAGACAAGACGCGACTGTAAAATGTGATAGATATTAGTGAGATATATTCTATTAATTAATATTATTTTTTATAAATATGTTTTAATCTGATTTTTTAAAAATAAAAACTCGCGAGACACACGAATGTACATAAATATGTCATATTTATTGCTGATTCAATCAATATTTTATGTAGTAAGAAAAAAATGATAAAAAAAAAATGTTTTCAGAAAAAGACAGAATTTAAATTTAAAAGTAAAATTCCAAAAATTTCTTTGAATCTCAATAAAATTTCACGAAAATCCCTGATTATTTAGGAGAAATAAATAAAAAGAAATTCCCAGAAAGTATCAGGTTTTTTCCTGGTAGTAAATCCTATTTTACTATTAATATCAGCTTCTTTTATTGCTAATAGTAACATAAGCAACGATCTCCTGTTTAGTGGAATATCACAATTTACAGGACGAATATTACTTCGTAAATTAAAAAAAATATTACTTGGCGGGACCAGCAAAAAGCTAAGCGCACATGTCAATTCTGAACGTGAACACGAGAGCTTGATATCCATCGACAGTGTCAATACCCTCGTCGCGGTACCCGGATATTTGGTTCGTTCGTAAAATCCGAGCGCAGCTCTAGTGCGTGACTCTTACTTCATGCTATTTTCCGACCGATGGCTGCGATGGCGGCTGCTGCTGCGGCGGCTGCGGCTGCGCTTAAATGACGACGATACAACAGCCGCGAGTGAATAGAATTGGAGAGTGACTCAACATTTAAATCGCGCAGTCGTTGATTTCTATTTTGTAAATCCCTGGCCAGAAAATTAATCGTTTCTATCGTGGCAATTTATCTAAATTGCACGATTGTAAACTGCATAGTCTGGCTGTTCAATTAGTCGGCAGTAGATAAAGACACTATATGGTCAGACATCACTGATTATTGAGAAATAAAGTCTGAAATATCTTTCTACGGTAAAAAAATTATTCGTTCGTATAAAGAGCTTAACAAAAATTTTAGAATGCAACTATATTATTTTATATTTAAAAAATTTATATAAAAATAATTCAAATTTTATATTACAATCTATCAACGTGAACAGTACAATGTAAAAATATCAAATTTATCAAATTTATCAAATTAGTATTTGATAGCTTATCTGTTATTATTCTTTTTTCTTATACATTCTTTAAAAAAAATATGTATTACTTTTATATAAATTTTTTATCTTTTATTATTCTTTTTTTCTTATACATTCTTCTAAAAGTCTAAGATTTTATGAATTCGATAGTTTTTTTTTTTCATTCTCCAGACTCATTCACTCGCCGTCGTTGTATCGTCGCAGAGACAATAGTGCGCTGCCAGGTGCAAAACAGTGACGTGAGTGAAAAACAGAGAAAAAAAAGACAGGCTCGGTGCGTTTTCTGCGTGGTGCGGTTTCTTTACTTTACCACGAACGATCAATTCGGCTGTCCAAAGGACCTCAGCCACCGAATTGCGCGCTAGGCAAGTATAGTTGCCAGTGTGCGCGGCGGTGACGCGCTCGATAACTATGGCGCTGGAATGGGCGTCAATGTTGGTTACGCGCAACCCAGGTGGTGTCTGAGAGTGCTGTCGGAGATCGTTAATGGTGGCGGCAACGGCGGCGGCGGCGGCGGGCCCGTAGGCGACGGCCGCCGTGCCGGAGGCGGAAATCTGCTCGCCATCCTTCGACCAGATGATCGTGAACGGCGGATCGCCTTTCTCGACCATGCAGGTCACCTGGGCCCGCAAACCCTCCGACAGGTCCTTCTTAAAGCTAAAGGGGGCTATCGTGGGCGGAACTGCACAAAAAAAGAGAGAGAAACAGATGATTGTGAGTGTGAATAAAAACAAATTTATCCGAACAGTCTCTTGTCGCTGCTTGTAGCTTCGTACTTTCGTCCTGGATGTCGTCACCTAAATGCCTGGAAAATCTTAGCTTAACTCGACTTAATTTAGGATTGTGAGAGACAAGCTCGTGAAATAATTGAATTGTACGGACGATTATTCTGTTGTTTCGAATAAAATTTGTCCGTCGTCGTTCACCGAACCCGAAATTGATCCATGTGTTTCGACGGAGAAACGCTGTCAGGCAAAACACGCTGCTGAGATCAGTTGTAGTTTGACTCGTTGAGGCTAGTTTCACGAATCGGTTAACAACGGCGGATTTGTGGTTGCATTTAGCCGGGCTGATAAGTTGTTAAAATGCCGGAGTTTAATGGATCTCAGATTTCTTCCGTTTCGTTATAATTGTTAGATAAAGCGAAAGATGTTAATTTTTATAATAATATCCTGTCATTATAATAATATCCTGCATTACGAAGCAAAAGATATAACACCAAGGATAGTTGCCAGTATATCGGCGGTGTATGACTTACATGACTCCATCATTATGGACGGAATTAGGTATTGATCGTTAAGCAGACCTCGGGAGTGACGTTTAATTATCCTCCCGGAGATACGCCGTGTTGTATTTGTTGTGTGATCGCGTAAGTGTATTTGTACTGGAATTAAAATAATATTGAATTAAGGGCAGAGAGACGAAATTAAAATAACGCGGCAAGAAATATTTCATTATTCCATCAACGTCGAATGAGATACACGCGGCTCTCGACTCGCGCGGTTAATATTAATAATATTCACTCACGTAAAACGTAAATTTAAATTTATTCTTCATTCGTTGATTTTTCCACGTACGAATTTTCCGTAACGCAAATAATCATTTATTCCCATTTTACTCCTCTGCGTTTTATTAATTTTATTTATCCATGCGAATCGAGAACAATTCGTGATATCTTCCTGCATCACCGACGACGAAAGGGTTACGACCTATGATGGCGGGCATTAACTACGTTTCCGAGTTTGCATGGAATGAGTATGTGTGTCTCTCGAGTGTTTGGACGCTCGTGTATTTCGCGAGATACACGAACGGTGAAAACAATCAAGCAGAGCGTGAGGGGGAATCCCCTTTCGTGCCTGGTTGTCGACTTTTCGACAAGGGGTTGCAGGAGGGATAGGGTATGTCGCGACGAGCGTAATGCCGCGAAACGACAATAATAACTTGCCTCGTTGCGCTGCATACGATACGTATGTACCTACAGCAAGCGGGGAACACGAGAGCCCCGCGGGTATTAGAACAGAATGCGGGCGGTTGTTTGAGAATAATTGAGGAACCGCGCGGGTACAGGGAACCAGATAGCGCAGCGTAACGTGAGTAATACCCAAAGAGGTCTGTCGCGTGTATATACGCGACAAATACATACGTATATATATAAATGCTCATATACATGTACAAAAGCAGAGAGAGAGAGAGAGAGAGAGAGAGAGAGAGAGAGAGAGAGAATAGGTTGGGCGCGGAATGGAGAACGAAGTTCTCGGGTGAGATAACAAAGAAGCTTCTCTTGCCAGAGACGTCGCGTTGATAAATTTCGTCACATAGTTTCGGCAAGTAGAGCGGAGACGTGAGAATTCTCTCCTTTGCCGAAGATAATTTGGCGGTCGACGATCCTTAATTGGCGCCCAACGTTATCGATAGCGAGCACGTGACGTTTACTTACGCGCAGGATCCTTTTAAGATTAATTAAATTAAAATAATGAACTCGCGATTTTTAAGTACCGGATCAAAATCTCTCATTGTAAAAGAAGCAATTTAAAAAAAGTTTAAAAGAAATTTTAGAAACGATTTGAAAGTGATTTAAAAGAGATTTTAGAAGCATAATCCAATACTCAAATTAATTCCAATTTTTTAAATAGTTAAATAGTTAAAATTACCTCAAAGAAACTAATTTCTGACAGCACGGTCAGAAATTAACTCATGAATTAATTTTATTCTGTTACGTGGCAGCATGGAATAAGTAAAAGTGTAGGAGACGTAAAAGAAGTGCGATCTGTCCTGTTTGCTTGTCAACGAGACACAGTAATCACCCTACAGCGATTTGTTTTTAGGTAACGTTCCTTCGCTCGTTATTGTAGACAGAGGCTTCGTTTCGCTTGCAGCGATTTGTTCATCGAAAGAAAGAGTGCCTTTAATGCGCACCCTCGTCCTCGATGGGGAAATGTAAACGCGCGAGTAGCTAAGGGGATGTCTCGTCTGTTGACGAGAGATTGTAACGCGCATCGACGCAACTATGGAACATATATACGTTCTTTTTCTTTTTTTCGGTCCTTGAGTGATAAATATCTCGCCTCTCTCTATTTTTGTGTTTCCTTTGTAATGGAACGATAGCTCGATGTAATCACGGAGGGACTCATGGTCGCGTAATCTTGATAAAAATTCGCTTTTTTGCTTAAAATCACGTTCGATCGAATCTCGTTGTTTCGCATTGAGAAAAAAGCTGTCAGACCATTGACGAGGGAAGTTTGCACGAGAATATCCGCTTTTCATTTTGCCATCGAAGGCGCAATGGTTATTTTTCCATCCCGGATTTTTCTTTCGCATTTTGTGTGCGAGATCCGCCCGGTGAAGTGGTCTCGCTTGGCATACGCGTCGATTAATAGCAATCATCGCCATTTTCTCTATTTCTCCCGTTATACAATCACGGCACTTGCCGGCGAACCGCCAATGGGAACATGCATATCCGCCAAGTACGGGAAGAGAGCTTTTAGCGGAATAAACTCGGAGAAAAAGAATTGAGCATGCCACATCCGCTAAGGAAGTAAAAGCGGCTGTTATTCGACTACAGAGACTGATTCAAAAAATTACAATAAATCTCTTAATATTTTAGGACTTAAGAAGAAAAATTTCAAACTGTACATTGTGTACGTACGTAAAATGACAGAATTAAGATACGCAATCCTTTTAATTCTACCTAATCTAAATTATTCAAATAAATATAAATCAAGATATAATGAAAATCTTTTTACATCTATGGATGTTTTCTAGCAAGGACACAATGTAACACTGAATTATTTTATCCTTGTTTAATATTATAAACAATAAGGATATAATAATTCACTGTTATATTATCCTTGCTGGAAATCGTTCTGTGTGGGCAAGAGAAATTAAAAATAAAGAGTTCAGTTCGTGAAATGATGTTTCGAATTTTTCTTTTCGAATGGGAAATTCGGGAAAGATGTAGACTGTGAGGGACAGGGAGAGTTTCCAGCATGGCATCTGGCGGTTTGGCCGGTTGCTGCGTACCATGGACCAGGAGGGACGCCGTGCGGGACGTCTTGGCGGCATCGTTGCTTGCTACGCAAGTATAGTTGCCGTTATGCGCAGTCGACGCGCTCTGTATCCTCAATGCGAGATCAAATTCGCCGATTTGGTGCGTGGTAGCCTCCCGCGGTTTCAATGGCCTGCCATCCTTCAGCCAGGTGATCTTCAGAGGTGAATCGCCCTCGCTGACCGCGCAGGTCACGTGCACCCGCGCGCCCGCTTGGATATTGTCGGGAAAGCTAAACGGATCGATTTTAGGCGGTACTGCAAATTACAGGAAGCACGAGAGTTTATTTCACATCACGACGACTTGCGATCGTCATCATCGTTGTCGTCATCTTTGCCGGCATCGCGTTGAGCCGGAAGAAGTCGAGAGAAGAAGGAATCTCTTGGAGAATTAACAATTATTTACGTATTATTTCAATATCTTATAGCAGAAGACAATATTATATTCGGTTATAATAGAATATTGAATTATTTTTAAGAATTGATTTTATCATATTTCGAGGCTGCATGCTTCTTTGGTCTCTGATATAAATAGAAATTTATGCATTTGCAACTTTACATAAAATACCAGTTAGTAAAAATATTCAATGTAACCATATACATATATATCCGATTCGATATCCTCTCGACCGAACAGATTCGGATTTGCGGCACATGAGAAGTTTCAATATTGCGCGATTTAATTTTTTCGGAGAAAATCGCAAGCATATTTTATATATCCTACCTGCGTGCTTTGCTCGACGTGATCGCAGCATAAAAATCATGCATCTGAAATTGTGTTAATCTAAGAAAACTTTTAAAATAATATCAACTAAATTATATTATCTATTCTTTCAAACATGAATTGTAAGTTAGAAAATTTATTAGAAAATATTCCAGTATTAATGTTATTTAACAGAGAATAATAGTATCCCTAATCAGTTGATCAGATTAAACAGTGATTATGAATTTTGTTGTTATGAATAGCGCATTCAATTATCGTCACAGTACAAAAAAAAGAAAACGTCTAATCAGTGTGAAAAGAAGATCTCCAGCTTCTCGATTCGTAAACTTCCATAAATATTCAATTTGACATCTTAATATCATTTTATCAATAATTTATCTACAACTTAATAGACTTTTATAATAAAACTTTATTATTTACATAATTGAAGAATTCATAGGGTTGTCATAATTTTGAAACTACATGTAATTGCTTTTATACCTATTGTTAATGTATTAATGTAGGATGACGATAAATCTGTACTTCATGGACATTAAGAATGTAAATCCGTATGAAAGTTCTACGCGAAATGATTTATTTCTCGAAATATTCTAGTTTCGAGAGAGAAATCTTACAGCAAAATGGAGAGGTACGAGTTTCTCTCGTGGCAGAAATGAAGCAAGACGGGGGAGATTTCTTTTTAAATCACAGAACATTCGCCGCAGTTTCTATCATGCACTAGACAGAAGAGTCCTGTTCGATTTCGCAAAATAAAACATGTACTTGTAGTTCTTCTATCTCTACCTATCGTTTTTGTATTATACCCACGGGAACGCACTATATTACACGCGTGAAGTGCTACAAATTTTCGTTTCTACGGTGATTCTCCGCGGTATCGAGCCTGTATGACACGTATCGAGAGGAAAATTGTCGTTCGGTTCGATATGCGGGATAAAAATCCACAAAACGATTCCGCGCACACAGTTATCAATTTAAAATTCCCTTACGAAAAGAAATACATCGATCACATTTCATGTCGATACGATATTCTTTTATTAGCCGCTTGCTATTATAAACCCTGCGATAACTTTTGAAATATATTCGTATTTCTGAATGATATATTGCACGTTTTATTACAATTTCCTAAATCGCTACTGAATATTTTTCGATTCAAAATTCGATCGGCAAGTGACCAATAGAAAATGCGAAAAGAGTTTCGCGACTCTTACGTTTAACGACGCGTGGCAAATCCGCGAAAGATGTGATGCGTCGACGAACAATTTCTTCCGATAAGTCGAGTCGACGTCCCGGCACTTCATCTTAAAAGCACTTCATCGCGATTATAGCTACGACATCGTGGAGAATCTCGGTAGAGCGGATCACCGTCATCATTGAACGGCGTCTGAGACGCATGCACACACTTTTGCGGGATACTATTGTTCCAATGTAATGTAAACGGATAAAAATCTTCGTGCGTACAGAAGAAAACGTACAGAGAAAAAAGAAAATCAATGCATGCGCAGGAGCAAGATGACTTTACCTTTGACTTCTATGTGAATAGTCTGCGAATCGGAACGACCTTGTTTGTTCTTCGCGGTACACGTGTATGCGCCGCGATCGGTGCTGCTATCGACTCGATACAGCACCAACGTGCCGTTCGCAGACACCTCCTGACGTCGGCTAGTTGGTAATATTTGACCATCTACGAGAAAAAAGTATATCGCGTTTCATATTTTAATGATTGATTCTTTTCAGTGGAAAGATACAATGACACGTATGTAACATCTGTTCTAATCAATTTGAAAAAGCGACGAGCTATTATATTTAAAGCAATTATTAAACCAATAAATAATATTAAATTAATGTAAATAAATTATAAATAATGATCTTTGTAGATATTACGAATATTTAACGTAATAAAATTAAGAATTAATAGGATATGATTATAATAATAGTTTTGTAATGGAATGCAAATGCTTAGGCATTTTTTAATTGCTTCCTTTGATTATGTATTATTGTATTAATACAACGTTTGTAATTCAACTTATAGTTCATATAAAAATTACAGTTTTTAGTAATCAATAATAAATTCTATTCGAATTCAAATGAATCATAATCATGAATGTTTTTCTTCGTCTATGGTCAAATGTGAATTTTAATTGATAGTCACGCGGTCATGCAGAGGTGCGATATTTGAGTTTAAATTATGCATTTGCTTTGCGCACCACACAATCAGCGCGATCGTGGCATTGTGGAAATGCGGCTTTCCACAGATGTTGTGCCACATTGGCGACGTCACGAAGCAGTCGAGTGTTCAATACGTTTTCATAGACGGCAACTAAACTTTGAAATTGTTGCCGAAGTGAAGTTGCCTTGGTGTATTCAAGAAAGAAGATGAATATAAAAATAACAGCTC